TGGCTGTGTTGACATGTTTTGTAGATCCAATAAAGTCTATTCCAACATAGATATAAATTATATTTCGCCGTGTAAATTTTGAAAGCTAACTTTAGATTATTTCAGTATGAAAGTGACATCACTAAATACGTTTGGTGTCAGTTCGGCAACACTTACCTTGATCGTGTGCTAGAGAAAACAATAGACTCAAAACTTTCAGCATTTGTACCGTAATATATAAGTACCTAATTTATAACTTTGATTAGATTACATAAACAATATATAAAGGCGTTGCGATCTATTTAGGTGCCAAGGACGAGCTATCAATTGTTGCGCCCCATTATCAAATTAGACCTATATATATTATTCGCGTTGGTGAAAATGCACCCCCACCTCCCTTATTTGAAAAGGTCGGGGCGCTTTTTAACCAGTGTTTCTTCCCGACTTTTTTTTCCTGTTGGGGGGGGGGGGGCGGACTTGAAATTTTTTTTGGGGGGGGGGGGGGGGAGACGAGGGTACGGACTAAAATTTCAGGGGGGGGGACGACGACACAGTTAAAAGTATATATTTTCTATATTAATTCCATTTCATTCGGGGAGCGGTAGACTTTCTTCGGGGGGAAAGTGGGGGCGCCCCCCCCCCCCTCCCTAAGTGATATCTGGAGGAAACACTGTTTTTAGCAGTCACTTTTCCTTTTAATTTCTCGTATACATAGTATAGAGGAAGTATTTAAATCGTGTAAAAAATCACATTATATTTTGACAGTAACAACCGTTTTACACCTCAGTACTTCATCATATACGAAGTATATGGGACGTATTTTAATCGGGCAAAAATTATAAATCCAGATTTATCCAAATTTCGTAGTGTTATATAAGAATATTCGAGAAGGTTTAGGGGAGATCATTCCCGCTATAATTTTTTTTTGGTGTCACACAATTGATGTAGAAAACAATTAAATAATTCTTAATGCCAAGTAGCAGTGCACATTCTTCATTTCGACTGTATATAATTGAGTAATGATCTCTTTATATTTGTAACACATATGGTTACCAGCCAAAGGGGGATAAAAATATGAAGTTTTTATTCATTGGGTTGCGGCCCCTGTTGGACCGTAACTGAACTGTTGACGTTGTTTTTTTATGCTTTTGTGAGCGAAATTACCTGTGTTCCATGTCATGTGACATGGGATTGTGGGTAGTTTCATGCCTAGCCGTGTCGCACACGCAAGGCTGCTGTCTGTGGACCAAGATGTAGACCTAATGAATGTAGTTATATAGATTATGTTTGTTAAAATACTTATTTGTGTATTCCTGCTAGTGCTGCATGTGCACACTAGTTAGGGTGAGTATTAATATAAGTATTTATTTGAAGTACTACGTATAGGTACTTGTTGGCAGTACTGTGTACTGGCCAAAACATATTTTATTGTTACCCGTGTGTATTGTAGCCTACACATGGTGTTGTCAGGAATGTAACTTTTTTTATTTACATTTGTTTTAGGGCTACAGTCTTTCTTTTGGTTTTGGATTTGGTTTATTTTTCATCTTGGCTAGTTTGTTTTGTACTACTGTGTTGCATCGCCGTCATGGCTCGATGCTGTAAATAAAAGAGTACTTGACAACAACTGTCGGTGTCGGTGTGTACTTAATCTCAGGGTCAGCCCGTCTTAACCACAACACCTCAGTGGGTAAAAGCATCCCCACTGAGTGAGGGTTACATTTGTGTCGCTGCATAACGCAGGCCGTTTTAGGGAGGGGGTGGAGGACAAAATCCGACAAAATATAATATTTTTTGCAACTTGATAAACTAGTGGTTATGAAAAAAGAAAAAAACGAATCTATTGCAGCAGTGATTGTTCTCCATTAACTAAAACACACCGTTGCGTAGCGAGAAAAAAAATACATACGTTGTAGTATGAAAAATAGCTAAATCTTTAAACCACTTTAAATAGTCGAATCGGAGTGTCGATAAAATTAATTAAAATAGTTTTTTACTAACCGAAAAAAACTAAAAATGACTAAGCTATCAAAAGGAATAATTGCCAAATTAATAGAATAAATGAAAAAAAAACGCGGGAAACCATTACACATATCAAGTTTCCATTATTCAGAGTCTTTGACCGACTTGCCAAATAAGAAGGAAAACTATTCATAATTTCCGTTGGCCGTAAATAAGAAATTTCAAAACTTGATTATTCCAAGCCAGAAATGAGTTCGAGCCTATCTCAGTGTGGTTTGTTGTTTGTTGTCTCATGATGGATATACTTGCAATGAAATGATTTAATTTAGAATTTAGTGAGGCAGTCTTCTCATATATATATATATATATCATAAGAAGGCACGCTAAAAATAACGTGGGCGGCGCGTTTTAATTAGTTTTGCCTAGGGCGCTAAATAACCTGGCGCCGACAGTGCCTCCCGAATAAGTCATAAAGTATTTCACCAAAATTAGATGTGTAGCCTATGAAGCTGTTCTCAAAGTTTCTAGTTATTGTTTTCTAAAAAAACAAAAATTTAGGAACGATGTATTTTCTTTATGTTCAAAAGCATTTGAAATTATCAGGAATATTTGTTTGATTCAAGCACATTATTTTTTTAAGCATTGGAATTTAAATAAGTAGAAAGTTTGTCGGGTAAATTTATTTTTTTATTTAAAACCTAAAAGTGTGTGGTCTCATCCACTCATCACTTTACACATAACTCCTTGTTAGAATATTATAGTGTGGCTATTTGCACAGTGCTGCACACACACACTAGAATAGATGAAAACAATGTCTAATAGCTGCCTATGAAAGTTAAGACAACCTATTGTAAGTGACTTTAAAAACACAATAGCTTTAAAGACTAATTGAGCCGGTTGTTGAATTACTATTCAAAATGTGTACTAGGAACTAAGCCTTAAACATAGGCGAACGATTCTACAGGTCTATGTATACATAACCAACATCCCAAAATGTAGTGTTTTTATTAGTGTTCGTAATGCAAAAATCTCGAGTTCTTTCTCACTTTGCTCTGATAGGTACCTAATTTGAATAATATATGTGAATTTTTCTGTTCAAATTGATGACCACATATACGAAGGCGATATTAATGAAGAAACGATTCTTCATAAGACAAGTCTATACGTTTTTGTCAATACAGTCATAAAATGTTTTTAAAATTATACGGTATACATGTTGTCACCTATCCAACTTTAATGTGTTAAATCACAATCTTCAGTTGTAGCACTGATAAATCAATACTATTAATTGCTTGCTTAAACTTTGATGAAACCGAGAACAAAACGTTTATTAAAGATGCATTGTCTTGTAAAGATCTTGTTTAATTGAAAATTGTTGCTAGCGTGTTATTAACAGAAAAATAAGTTTCATTAGTTATTTTACATGTGTTCGGTATTATTATAAAAATAAACTTGTTTGCAATAAGAATTTTTAAACATTTATTTTCTTACTTGTTACTGGGACTACAATTTAAAAGCTTTACGACTTGTTTCACATATAACAATTGTTTTAGTTATAAATATAAATAACCAAGTACAATACCTCTCTATAATGTGTTCCGTTTATGTGTAATTATTTTAACCGAGCTGCAAATAAATATTAAGTAACAAGAATCATCATTAGCACATAACAGCGAGGAATGTTACAATTCAACAAATGTATTCCGATTTGAGCATTGGCAAAACCTAAACTATTATATCGCCTTATACTGCGGTAAATAAATACTAGCATGAAAATTAAGTAGTCAGAATAATTATTTTTTGACACATTTGAAAATAAACATCCCCAATTATTCTCAATAACACATCTAGTGAAATCGTGTCCACACTTTACACCACGCCGACAATTATCTAAGATTAATTTTTTAATAGTTCATTGTAGAAAAAGCTTTTTTTTTTTTTTGCAATTTAGTAATAACCAAAGTGAGAAAAGACCTACATGCCTACTATTGTTGCCATTATAAACAAATATTCTATTATTTTTTTTTATTTTTTCAAAATAATAAACTATGAGTTTACTTTTAAAATTGAATAATTGGTACTTATCGCAGTTATCGGGATAATGTCCCTTGCATGACTTCTTTCACAGGCAATTCAAATAATAGTTTGCGAAGTAGAACTAGTTTTTTTTTACTTTTTTATATAATAAGTAATTAAATTGTTACATATGTATTTGTTACTCTATGGTCATAACAATAATAGAAGTAATAAAAATTCAATTTTTTTAAAACCAAAACAATATTTTTTTAACAGTAGGTCTACCTTTAGCGATACAATTTAACAATCGTGGCCTCTGTATTAGATATGAATAATAATATGTTTTTAACATTTTAAATGCATGATTTAAATAAAGGAAATAAATAGTTTTCCAAAACAATTTTTGCTCTTTGAAAGATATTGCAATCGAAATCAATTCTACGATGAATCAAAGATAACTAAAACAATTTTAAAAAAAAAACACACATTAAAATTATGAATAAAAGATAATTAAACAATTAATAAATTATTATTATATTATCACCACTAAACATATTTCTAGAACTTATATCAATTCATATAATACACAAAATTTATTATTTGAAGCATTTTTGCAGAAAACATTTATAAATTATTTTTCAGCAAAGTTTTACATTGCATTATTAACATCTAAATTACTATACTTTTCCACAGAAAATGTATGAGATAAAATCTTACTTTGACATTAGGTAAAATAACTAATTTAATAGATAGCAGAAATAATAAAAACATTTAAACATAAATTCATTTAATGTAATATTTTAATTCATTATAATACGAAATAACAGTCGGGCAAATTAAAAATTGACTAATATTCTATAGACTTTTAAATATTTTTACATTGTACTGTTAGAGATAAAACAATTTTTCTCTGGATGTATAAAGAGTTCGATCGACCTCTTTAAAGATTTAAAATAAGCGTCTCAATCGAAAGTAATAGCATATGAACAGGTAATTATATAAAATTAGAGATGTCAGTTTTTGAAATGTAACAGTCAAAGGTTGCCAAACAAAACACCCATAAACACAAACACGCCTTGACTTACAGTTGTGTATAGCTGAGTCCTGCTACATCCAGTATCTCGTGGCTTGATGTCAACATCCCTTTACTTTCTTCCTTGTGGAGCTTCTGTTCTAAAAGTCTCTGCTCTAGTACATGTCTTTCTATCTCCATTCTTAATTTCTCTTCTCTTTCTCTCATTCTCTGTTCGTGTTTTTGTTTCTTTAGTTGTATTTCCAAATCATGTTTCTCTGTTCTTTGCTTTAGTTTCTCTTCTTTCTCTCTCATCAAAAGCTTGTGTATTTCCAGTCTCATTTTCCGTTCTTCTACTTCCAGTTCATAAATCTCACCAAACCGTCGTCTTTTATTTAAGTTTCTACATCCGTGTGTAACCTGTGTAGATGGATGAGAATTTCTTTTCCTTTCTGTGTCATCGAAATCCTCTATCTGAGGCCTGTTAGTGTTCGAAAAAATAAAAAGTTTATTTGAATTTATAATAAAATAAAATTAAACGGTCTAAAGCACTAATTTTAGATCAATTAATGAGTTGGTGACCCCTAAGAAAACCTGTCACGCCACCCTTAAGTCTCGTCTCAGTGAGTGGGAACCAGTAATGTAAAGTATCAACTGTCTGACAGATCTAAATATTATCCCACATGAAAATTAAAATTAAATTACTGAGGCTCCATCTCGATGTTCTGGTTTTGGATTTTGTCTGTGGCTTCTTCTTGAGCTTGGACATCTGTACCTGTGTGTGAAAAAATGTAGGTCCATTAGTGTATCGTTCTTTTTGTATCAACATGAAAAAAACCGACCTAGTGGGTCTAACAAAATGTCTCCACTATTTCAGACAGTGGTGTAATTTATCTGTCATCCAACAACAACACGTTAATTCAACAATATAACAGCTAAGCGGATGGTGCTAGTACCTCACACAAGTCATTTCTTAATACATTTTGTGAATACTAGATATAATAACATACTTACCGTAAAACAGTTGCTGGGTAAGCTCTCGATTCTCGTTGAAATTTGCTGTAACTGAAGTACATGCAAAGGCGATAATTAGAAACCAGAATAAATTTGTATTGTATATAGTATATACATAAAGTGAAACAAGTGCGTTGGGCTAACCAAGGTAGGGTAAAGAGGATGTCGATTAGTGCATAGATGATATTTGCTGGGACTTAGGTAAAGTTGACTAAGGCATAAGGGAATGTAAGCTATGGCATATGGATTTTATTTAGGGCAAGTTAATGTTGGCTAGGGCGTGTGAATATTGGCAAGGGCATAATGTATGCCGTGTAGGGTATGATATTTTATATACTGTATAAACTTGTAACGTTTTAATAAATCAAGGTATCTTGTTATCCAAAAAACATTTTAGATCTATACGTTTATACTTATAAATATATTTTAAGAAATTATTTTGGGCTTAAGTTCAATAACGCCTTATGATGAGCTCTACATATTTATCGTTTTAAAATATTTCATTAATCAATTTCGGATATAGTTTTACCTTCAACTTGCAAGTTTGAAGATGTTACATCATTATCCATGTTGTCTTCACTGTGACGTTCCGTCGATTCATGGTGACCTGTTGAGAATAGCGAGGACTAAAAACATGTTCTTCAATTATACGCTTCAACGGGCATATTTGTCTAAAAACAGGAATGAAAACATTTTCTTTAATTACGTATTAACGATTATATGTCTCTATAAATATTTCTAAACAATTTATACTATAATTATATAAAATACATAAATAAATAAATAGACATACCATATTCTACTGCATCCCTTTCTTCTTCGGATACATTTGCAGGTAAATTGACACCTAAATACACACAATTTAAATCTAGAGCTTGATTCCATTATCAATAGTTTCCTCTATATTAATAAATTAACAACAAAAATTAAATCCTTTAAAGTCAAGGATATATCAACATAGCATTTTTAATAGATATATTTGCTAATGTTTTAAGCTTTATCTCAACACAATGTTACCTTCACTATTAAGGCTGGAAGACGGCTGAAAACTGGCGCTATTTGTTCCATCAACCACTTCTGTAACTTCATCTGGCTCTGTTGTATCCCCAGTGTTTAATTCAGACTCAAAAAGATCCTTAAATTCTACAAAATCTTCAGGACAAATATCAAATATTCTTCTAGTAAAACCAGAAAGTCTACTGCCATGAGGGTCTCTCTTTGCCCTTTTCATGTCTTGTTTAGACAAAGATTTCATCCTCTGATATTTTTCTTTCACTTTCTGTAGGTCACGTGACGGGTATTTTGCTCTATGTTCTTGTGTGACGTCATCCCAGGCTTGTTTTACTTTTTTCTTACATTCGCTGGTTCGTCCTTTACATTCTATCTCTCTCTTGTGTCTCTCTATCAGTGAGAGAAGTTCGTTTTTTTCTTCGTCTTTCCAGTTCTCTGTTCTGGTTTTTTTACGTTCAACTTGGGGGCCTAGTTCAGCTGTTGGAAAACATTACACACAGGGGGGGGGGGGGGGGGGAGGATAGTGGGGTGTGATAGTGGGGTGTGATAGTCGTCCTTTACTAGCTACTTATAGTGTTTTAAAGCAAAAAAATTTCCGTCGCAGCGTTGGTAGTGTGGAATTCACAAATTATGATGAAACAGAAAGTAAATTCAATGAAATATGTATTGTAAAACTGATATTTATATAGAGATCGTGTGTCCGAATGGGTTGATTTATGCTGTTCTTATCAAAGATTATTCGATACAGCGGATCTAGTATTATTCTAGGCATTTTTTGTTGTTTATAAAATGGTTTTTTTTATTCATTATCTTGTGTTTTTTTTTTGGTCTTGTTCCATTAAAAATTCTGAATTTACTTTTAAAATAAAAACCGCTATTGTCTTGTCCACGCACTCTTACACTGTTGTTGTATATCTCCTATTATATATATGTCTGTGTCAATACTCATGTGTTAAAAACATGTTCGAGGTGGGTAAATCTCTGTATTTCCTCAAGCTATTACTTTTTATGTACTATATATAGATCTTGCATACTATATTTAATTTGGTAAGTTATTTGCTTTATGGTAGATCAGACTCAATCAACATCATTATCTTGACCGGCATTGTTTTATCCTGCAGTTATTAACTGTGTTTAAAAAGATAGCGAAGTCAATAATGATATCCGAAATTTCGATTGCTTAATGTAAAACTCTAGATCTTGACGTGAATCATAAGGCCAACAATGTAAAATGAAACTAAACGACCCCGCCTCGCTCCGGATTTTATAATTTATCTCGTTTTTAGCGCATTTTTTTTAAATTTTGTTGACTGTCCTTTATATTAAGACAAGTAATTTTTTTCTAAACGTTTTGTGTCTAAATAGTCTGAACTATCAAACTCGTAATCCACATATTAAAGAGTGTGCAAAATGTCTCGTATCAAATATTTAAATAAAATATATTAAGACTGTCAATATTTAACGTAATATTAACACAATACTCAAGAATAAGTAAAGGGAGCTAAACCACGATTAGAGTTTATACTAAACTTCTCCCTAAATTAGTACGTTCATAAAAATTTTTACCTCACAATATTACAGCCTCTGTTCATCATATATAACAGATAATACGCTAGGACTTAATCTATTTTATCATGGTGACATGATATATGTACGTCTATATTTATCTCACACAAATGAAAATTTTACCTTGTAAACTACTAGCTATGAGATCCAAAAGCTTTGTTGCGTTATTTGCTTGTGTTGTAAATTGTGAATCATTTAAAAACCCTACACACGCATGTAGTGAAAAGAAAAGGGAAGGTTCGTCCTGAAATAGCAGTTTTAAATAATGATTTTAGAAAATCTTAAAAATAAATTTAGATCTAATTAATGAAATATCTAATATTATAATTGCTTGCAAGATTTATAATTAGAAGAAAGACTGAAATATAAAACAAATACTTCCTTTTAAAATGTGTTTTTAATGTAAGCCGTTTTATTTGTCGTGTATTTCCTTACTAAATATAACCGTTTTCTAGATTTGTTTCACTAATTGAAATCTGTTATCTTTTGATGCCTTATTAATATGTTGAGTTTATTTATTTTCTAACCTTTATATAGTACTTGATATAAGTTGTATCAGTAGCCAATATTTGCAGACCTAGCTCTGTCTCCTGTTGTCTTGTCCAATATGATTGTAACAAAATAGATTGTAGATGAAACAAACAATGTTCAGGGAATTCTGCTCTAAACGTTTCTTGTTGACTTAGTCTTTGTAGGTGGAGTAAAATATTGCAGATACTGTCAACAGAAATGTTTTAGATAAAGATGTAAAAATTCAGATAATGCAGTAGAGTTTTTTTTTTTGTTTTTTTTTTTTTGACATAATGATAGAATATTAGAATATGTAGCACGACAGACGTTACATTATGGCGCTATAATTTACAACATAATTTGAAGACAAACGAAAAGTATGCTTCAGATTAGACGCTTTATTTTACCTATTAAATGAAGTAAAGACACCTCGTAGCTCTGAGTCGAGAAAATTAAATTGTATGCATGTGGTGAGACTTTAGAAAAGTATCTTCCACCAAGGACCATGCCGTTCCACAAAACTACTCACGTATTCACACTAAATCAAAATATTTTCGCAGGTATTGCATCGACCAATTAATCAGCGTTAGTGTCTTTACGTTTATTTTGTGTACATCAAATGATAAAGTGGACTGAACTCCGTCCCCTGTATATTACTAAAGTGCATGTTTACTTATTGTTTTAAATTTACCCAAGTCTGCACTCGTTTTCCCCACAGTAGACTTGAAACGTAACTTGACTAAGATGTAATGACGTCACTAATCTTTGTTTCAGCTCTTGTATTGTGTCCTGGTACACCAACAAATGTTGACCGTGGTGGACGTCGGTTATCATTGATATGATCACAAACATCACAAGACCTAGATCTAAGATATATGACAACATTGACAAGCAAAATATATAGGATTACAATATCAATAACTTTTACTTTATTTTACTGTAGTGACAGTAAGACTAAACTATTTTCCCCATATCTAGCAATAAAATACCGTCGTTTGTTCTGGATAAATCAGAGCTCCAGTTCTGTAACAAAGTTTTTAATTCTTCTTCACTTAAACATTGTTGGTCGACTTGTGAGTCAAACATTTTCACCAGAAAAAGAAGAAATGTGAAACTCTGAAATATGTTTACAACACATATTTAACTTACAACTATCAACAGTCAATAGTAAACTAGTAAATAGACTCAAGTGAATGTATTACTTACTTGTTTTACAGTAAGGCACGTGAACTTAGAAGTCCTTAACGTCAAGTCCTTTAGGACATTGTTTCTTTTGATTTCCCCCTTTCTGTTTGCTCGTTTAAACAATTCCATTACATTGTCAATCTTCTCATCAACATCTACAAGATCTGGCACTATATTTCTGTTCTCAACAAGAGTTAATACAACATTCGCCATTTCAGGCCATCGGCTAAACTCTGTTAAAAGTATTGCACTCTCTTTACTGTTGTCTAGAATTTGGTCAATTTTCTGTCCAGTACCCGCCTCTATTACTGGACAACCTGATAAACTGGTAACGTCTAAAATAGCGAGAGCTGATTTGATTATATCATTTTTGTACCATACAGAAAATAAATATTTAACTTTAGAAAAGGGCACGTGCATTTCTTCAAGTCTTTTCTTCAATCGTTCTTCTGTTTCTGTTCTAACACCATGATCTTCACGGTCTTTTAAAACTTCCATATCGCTTTCACTGCCTTCATCCTCGTATTCATCGTCTTCCTTTTCTCCTTTCTCGTCGAAAATAGAACAATAGAACAATAGTAAAGTTGATGCATCTTAATGAACGTATATTTTTGCTAGGATGTTAATAAATATGTTTTAATTATCTTTACAATTTAAATTATGAAACATTAATCACTAGCCAGTATGTTTTTAAGCTTAAATGTTATTATTAATAGTGTCTCTTGTCCAATGAAACTATATGTTTATATAATGAGTTTCTTTTTAGTCCGCATATTTTGTTCTATAGGTATTTGACCTGCATCTCTCAAAAACAGTTGGCCACAAGTACAATAAAATACATAGAATAAACGTTGAAGACGGTCCTGTTGAGTGCGATGAGCATTTATGTTCTATAACAGAAAATTCTAAAAAATGAATGCAAACACTTTTACATAATTTTAAAATGACCAGTTAAAGAAACTAAGTCATTGCAATAAAGATATGATTGGTTCGAAAAGGATCTATAGGTCTGTATATTATATTTGTAGAACTTGAAGAGCAACTAGTTGTTTCTCCTCTGTTTTCTTTTTCTTTTTTATTAGAGACCTACACTTAAATCTCCAGAGGTGTCTCGCGACACCAATCACCTAACAAATACGAGAAAGAAGAACTGTTTGTTTACCGATATCTCGAATGGTATCCGCTAATTTCTTCGCCGCTTCTCTTTCATCTTTGACATCGTGTGCTGTTATTTCCTGTAGTGTCGTTAACAACAGTCTTTGTTTCTGTAGATAATACATGGATGATTTGTAAGTAATGTGTAGTATATAGTGTAGGAACAACACAGTTTTAGAATGAGCGAATTACCTTCATTGTGTGTCTATTGTTTGACGTCATCACCAGCTTATCTAGTTGGTTTAATATAACTTGTACATGTTCTGTCCACTGCCAATTTTCTTGGATGTACTTTAGTAAGAAATCAAGCATTACATAGCCTGGTAACCTACTTGACATGTGTGCAAGTCGTAGAATTCCTAAGCGCCTGTTCATAAAAAAGGTTACAACATTACTGTCATTCATGTGAGATAAAAAAGTTAATTGAGTTATTAAAAAATACAAAGTTTAAGGACTAAAATGTTAGCATATATTGCAACAGATTTTCTATGACCTAAAACTCGTGGAAGCTAAGATAATAAAGATTAATTTGAGTTTATTTCATGCATCTTTACGGACAAAATGAAACAAATAAATAATAACTTATACAAGAAAATTTATTCTTCAACCAGCCATCGTCTCTCTCCCCGACCCCAGCCGGAAAGTTTAACCCCCCCCCCCGCCCTTTACCGGAGATAAAGGTCTGAGATAACCCCTGAACAAAATGAGACAATTTTATCTAAAACAATAAAATAAAACTAAAGCTAATGTATCTTGTACAACATTTATTTAATTAGTGTTAAAACTAACTTTGAAAACCGTTTACAAATTTATTACAATAGTATTATGGGTTACATGATTAAATTCTGGTAAAATAACTACATGTTTGAGAATGTCCAATCATCTTCTATCTTTAACCTATAATGCATTACATGTTTCAATAACTATTTAAACATCTGCAGAGCCTAACACTACTTCATATAGAGTATTTCTAAAATTAATTAGATAAAGGATAAAAAATATATTTCCAATTTTACATAATTTTACTAATTAAATCACTTTAAAATAATCACAGGGTCACTATAACATACCTGCTCTTGTTGCGAAAACGTGACACTGAGATAAAAGGTAAGTACGTGAAGTTTGTGTCACGGCGTAGCAAGTCAAAAATATGGATCGACCAAAACCAAGGTAAATCCGTGTTATCCTCAGACTGTGACATGAGGACAACACAACGTACTATGACACCACTTGCATCTATTGACAAAACTGAAAGAAAAATTGTATTGTTGTTTAACGAATTGATTTTCTCATGTTTAGAAGTTTCCTGCTAATAAAAGATTAATATAAAGCACCATCACAATAGATGAACTTGTCTCTGTTAAATTTCTTCACAATCAGACCATTCATGTCCTTTCTTTATAAAACATTTCATATTATTTGCAGTATATTCCTAATTGCAACTGTCAATTGTTAAATTCGGATTATTGCTATTATTTATTACACGAATCAATGCTAAAGATATCGTCATTAAGTTTCTTGTTAATAAAAGATTAATATTAGACACCTCCGTTCAATTTCTCCAATAGCAGGTCTTTAATGTCTCCTCTGTGTAAAACTTGTGTGTGTAAAGCCAGATAATACATGATGTACAGGGATGACGTAAAGCTGAAAGATTTAGCCTGAAAAGATCAAAATGAAAGCGATGTCATAATTCTTACAAAGGTTTAGATTGATTTGAGCTACAGTATCGCATGTTTTTCTTTCTTGTTATAAGTATTTATTTAAATAGTCCAAACGGCTCCGTTGTCTTTATTGAAATTAATTCAACTTTCGGGTCACCGTAAGTTTGAGAATTTATTAGCTTATAAAATACCATTGTCGATTACTACATAAAACATTATTGGCTATTCAATTCGCAATATCTCTATATATAATTCTCTTCATGGAGACGATAGAAAACACCACGCAGCATAGCCACCACCCCCACCACCACATGGTCTGGTGAGCTATAGTTCACCCCGTATGTTTACAATCGTAGTGCCGGGTTAGTGACAGCTATTAGGGGCAGATAGTTTAGTATTAAACCAATTGAAACGAAGGGGAGGTAACAATTTCTGATTGATCGTTTCTTTGTCTGTAAACTGCTGCTTTCACTGGGCGGGAAGGGACGGGTGGGCCGGAGGGTGTAGTGTTGAATTCACAAATTATGAATCGCTGATAAGCAGAAAATAAAATAACTAGATGGCGGCGTATAGGCCTACTACGTCGCGGATCAGCTCGTACAATCTATATATATATATATATATATATATATATATATATATATATATATATATATATATATATATATATATATTTATATATTTTTATATATATATAATTCTCTTCTGTGAGACGCTAGAAAACAAGCTGTAAGCGCGCTCCCTACCACCCCACCCCTACATGGTCTGGTGAGCTGTGGTTCACGCTAAATGTTTACAAGCAGAGCCGGGTATAGTGACGACTATTAGGGGCAGATAATTTAGTTTGAAACGATTTTAAACGTAGGGGGATGGGGGGGGGGGGGGGGGTAACTAAGTGGAGTTTACTTTTACGGAGGGGGGGGGGGGAGGAGGTGGAGGGGTTATCGTCCTTAACGAGCTACTTATAGTGTTTTAAAGAAATATTTTCAGTTGCAGCATTGGTACTGTCGAATTCACAAATTATGAATTACTGAAAAGTAGAAAAAACAATAACTAAATAGCGGCGTATGATATGCCGCGGGTCGGCTCGTATAATATATTTTAGGTGGGTGGGTGGGTAACCCACATTGACCTATTTAACAAACGACCATACATTGATATTAGCGTACTCAGCCGGACGATTGTATCCATATTGTGTATTACAGTTCACAGCTTTTAAATATAGTTATTTACCTTAACAATGCTGTTTTTGTCATCAACTTTCAAGCTGAAATATATCTCATCTAAAACGCCATAAGCAATCAGCTGATCACAACAAAGTTTGCCGTATGATGATGTCACAATCCAAACTTGTCTGATGTAAAACAAAATTTCCTTTGAGTTTTTGTCCACGTTTTCTTGTTGGTCGATAGAATCTTCGTAGTGTTCTTGTCCGATTGACTTTAATATTAAATAATATTTTCTCCAAATTTCTTTAAAAAACTTGACATCTGTCAGAAATTCTCCAAACATTTCCGTGTACACATCTAGTAAATCATATCTGAGGTATGAATGTAGCTCTTTGATAGTCTTTAAAACTTCAGTTGCAGGGCGTTTTTTAAAACTTAAAATACATTTCACAACCAGCTCATAGCCAACACAAACGTAAGGATACAACTTTACATTTTCTAACCAGTTTGCAACGTGTGGTTCATCTAACTGAAGTTCTGCTAGTAAAGTTTTAAAAGGATTTAATTCGATTCGTTTGTTTGTTTGAAAGAAATCTGTGAAGTGAAAAACAAATGTAACTTAATGTACGATATTAAAATTATAGTCTACATATTACTAGCAAATTATAATTAAGCTAACTGGCTGAATCAGTTGTACAAATGACAAATTACGTTACAAATTTGAAATGGAAATGATACAGTTATTCAGAATTATCTCAAACGGTATATATATATATATATATATATATATATATATATATATATATATATATATATATATATATATATATATATATATATATATATATGTATATATATATATATATATATATATATATATATATATATATGATGTAATATATGCATATTAGGGTGCTTAATTCCACACATACTTTCGGGAAACTTCAATAGTTATGTATTAGATATAATTACGAGTGCAGTGAAATGGACAGATAAATAGATGGGCGGTACACAGGAACTGACAAAACATTAGTAGCTTTATGCTGACCAGCGGCCATGGCTGTTAGCGCCAGGGGGGGGGGATAATTTGTCAGCTCACAAATTTTGGTCTCTTTATCCGGTGACAATATTTAAGGGGGTAGGAGGTAGGTATAAATACGGACAGGTTAGATACCCTCTCTCTCTCTCTCTCTCTCTCTCTCTCTCTCTCTCTCTCTTAGATTTACAAGCGTTCAGGGGAAGACTCGCTCGGTAGAACATGAGTTTATTCAACTAAAGAACGGCAGAAACTAAGAAAGTCTCCTGTCCAGTTCTGGACAACAACGGCCTTATTGGCTAGTGCCCGAGTCAGCAACATATTCAGTCGGCGACTAGGCATCCGGATAGAAACATAGCAGTTCGGCCTACAAAATATACGTTTTTTTCTACTATATTAAATTTTCGACGTATTGATTATATGACTGTAATGCAATACATTTTGTTTTAATTGACTACATTGATGTAAAATGTA